AAACAGAAATAAAACCGTCAAAAAACGAAACGTAACGCGAGCGTCCATTAAGACATACTACAAGCCGCTGAAGAAGATTAGTCAATTTTTACCATCCATCAAATGTAATATTCCTCTACAAGATGCAGGTGTGTACAAGCTAGATTGTGTGATGTGGTCTCTCTTACATAGGTCAAACAAAGAGATCTGTAAAAACCCGCGTGAAGGAACATATAGCTGATGTGAAGCACCGACGCTCCGGCAAGTCTGCAGTCTGCGAACATGTTCAAGATCGTCCCCACCATTTCATTAGATTTGATAAACCACAAATTATCGCAAAAGAACATCGATTCCTACCAAGGATGATAGTCGAGGCTATTGAAATTAAAAAAACATCCAAATTTCAATAGAGAAGATGGTTGGGTGCTGCCATCTACTTGGGATCCTACAATTAACAAAATTAAACCTAAACCCAAGCATACCACTGCAAGACTTCATGATACTATAAGCTCGTTTTGCGTAAATCGGACTAACAATTAATATTAAAAAAACTGAAGGTAGCCGGACTAACTATGACATTGGGACGTCAAACATCTCAGTCCACCCCGTGACCTTGGGTGCTGTAAAGCACCCGAAACGTCGGGATAATAATAAAAATAAATTAAAGTAATTAAACGCGATAAAATCCGTAAATAATAATTTTATTCAATGTGTAGTGTTCGCGTAAATTTAAGAAATCATTATAAAAATATTGAACTTTGAAACTAATTTACTGTTGCCAATTAATATATTAAGACTGCAATTATTTGATACCATATTAAAATAGTTAATGGACACGTATTTCCCGGTAAATGAATTAGGATAAAGCTCTCACACACCCACACAAAACATATTAGCGCCATATCAGGGGTTAATGCAACTATTACTATTAACACATTACTAATAAATGATATAATCATATACATAATTTCAACAGACTCTGGAACGACATCACTCTTGACATTAAAAAAAATCTCCCATAAAGTTTGTTTTTAAAAATAAAGTCCTTAAGCATGTGAAAAAATCTTTACAAGCTTGAAATAACACAGCTCTTATTGTCATATGTATTTTGTATTTTTTCTGCACCGTCATATCTATTTTAATACTAAAACCCATTCTATTTTAATTATTTCTGCACCGCCTCATATATTATATCTTCTCCGTTTAGCCTAATGGTTGACTGGTAGAGAATGCCTTATGGCATTAAGTCCGCCATATGTACTACTTTATGCATGAAAGTAAAAATAAATAAATAATTGACAGAATATGTTTTAAGGCAATTACGAGAGTGACACCGAAAGTTCTTAGAAAATCAAAAACTGAACAAGCTAGCAATTTATGAGTTTTGTTACGAGCTTAAGGTTCGTGACAATAAAAACTGCCGATTGAATACCAAAATTGACACTAATTACCGAACACCAATTAAAACTAATACACACTAATAATTACTCACACTTAACACTTTAGTTCACTTTATTTCGCTCCTAAGTCTTTACTTGTATCGCCAATTCAATACTGCCCCTGTCGCGCCACTATACGGCTTAATATAGGCCTTTTCCACCTAAACATCTAGAATGTTTCTGCAAATACCGGTCCCGATCGACTAAATGTAAAAAATTCGAGTGTGGATTTGTTTCAGAAAGCTTAGTTCTTCTATTCGACACTAGATGGCGCTAGTGCCATGTACCAGATATCAACTGTGGTGCGCAACAGTTTTATTATATTTTTACAAAATAGTGTCCATTTACTACTACTTCTAAACGGAACTACTGAGAAAAGCACTTTGCCCACTCGTCCTCAGGGGTCTCTTCAACGGCATTTTGAAACGCAGCCACTGCTTCCTGGGCGTCCAAAAAACCATTTTACTCGAAGTTTTTCTTTTAACGGCTAGACCGACTTTCACTGACAGATAGCAGATGTTATAAGGAGTAACTTAGGCTACTTACATATTATTTTTAAATTAGGGTTCCGCGCAAGTAGGTTCTGAAAATAAACTTGTAAAATTTTTTTGGACAAAAACCTCAGTTAACGAGTTCCATACTTATTTTCATAGACATCTATATAAATAAATATTCACGATTTTTTTTTCGTTTCTTAGCAAAACCTAGAATTGGCCGACTAATCGATACGATTTAAAACATAGAATACTATATCTTGTGTATGTATTATATTATTATTCTATGATTTAAACATCAACTGCATACTAATGTTACGGGGGTTGTTGTGACTATTTTTAAGCTACGTTAAAGTATGAATAAGTCTTATTATCTTTAACACAGAATGACATATATCTGGAGATGACAAAGAGTGATTCATAATGATTGTGCTTACTGTGATAATTTGACCAAGAAACTCTTTTTCATATTATTTTTCAAAAACACCGATACTGTTTTCCGTAAATCAAACAAAAATGTCCGACAAAAAAACATAGCATCGTCGTGTCGTTCACACCTTCTACAATTAATTTTTATATTCTAATTGAATTTTTGTTCCTCTATCTACTCATAGATAACACTCATCAAAAAAGTAAGATAACTGCGTTAGTTACAATTACCCCATAGTTGCAATAACCTCGTGTCAGGAAAATATTTCCAGACTGCTGAATAACCTTTACAATAATTTTCGATTATGTAGTCATTACGATACCCACTAGTTCTTCTGCATTAACTCGTAACAGTCTACCGTTGGACATGGGCGTCTTATGTTAGGTGAATTTGCCATAATACATACCCTTGTCAGTGGAATTGTCGATTGTCTCGCATATTTGACTATACTGCCTGTTAATAGATTGGAATTTACCGCCGCAAAGCGAGAGAGTTACAGCCTATATACGTCCCACTGCTGGGCACGGGCCTCCCCTCATTTCTGAGACGGTTTTAGGGCAAGGAAGTGTCCGCCGCGCTGCCCCAATTCGTGTGCAATATGCGTGTTGGCGAACTTTACATGGCTTCAAAAAATTTTTTTTCTTATTTCTCTGAAATGCAAGTTTCCTCACGATGTTTTCCATCCCCGACGAGCACTTGGTAAATCAGTACTTAAAATTAACAATTTCTTTGGTGCTGGCGGAGATCGAACCCGGTTTGCTCGCGTACTGTGAAATTTACAGCGAGCGCTAATCATCTGAGGCTACCACGACTCACCAATCGAAAACCATAAGATTTTCTACAATTTTTTGTCATAGCCGCCCCTTACAACATTCACATATCCAGGATCTACCATCCAGATTAAATCGTCTTTAAATAAAATATAAAGAAATTTATTACGTCCGGTTAAAATGAAATATGTACCTACGTAGGGTTACTCTCGTCATCGAGTGTTTCTCTTTCATGGGATTTTTCGTAGATATTTTTTAATTATGACTTCCGGAGATTTAGCGTAAATAATTTTCGATTTTAAATGACTTGTAAATAATACCGGAATAATCAGCTTATGATTTCTGTTTACACATTTGGAGATCTCCGCGAATTCTCGCAGGATCAAAGACAGCGCCGTTTATCAGCGTCTGGTTCTTTTCAAACCGACTTGTCGTATTAAACAAAATTATGTTTGCCGTCTCAAGATTTCCTTACGCGAAACGCTGAAGTCTTCTTACAAAGTTAACCTGCCTTTGTTATGTTTAATATGTTTTTATTTTATTATTTTACGTGGAATTATAAAAACCTTATTCCATTTACTTAAAGTTTTTATTAACGTTTACTGGCAAAATTTTTATTAATTCGCTTTTTCTATGTTTGTCTGCTAGAAATTTGAAACTTGAAACGTCTTAAATAACTGTTGCCGTTTTGAATTATAATTTTTTGTTTTAGATATAAATAACTAGTTTTCTTGTTTGTTGCTTGCTTAGTTTTATGTACAATACTTTGTAAAATATGGATGGGGTTTATCGTCTTATATTTATAAATCCCCATGGACCGAATTTCGCTCGGCGTCAGTGAAAAAACTCTCGGGGTTGACACACATATTCTAGTATCTAAACATAAATTTTCATCCAAATGTTAAAGCTATTTACCAGAGAAACTAGATGCATATAAGAATTCCTTGCTTAAATTGTAAAGATATTGGTTCTGAAGTAGCAACAACAAAGGCACCATAGCGAGTATGTAATAATTTGTTTTTATAGGATAGGGTGACAAACGAGCACACAGTCTACCTGTTGCTGTGGCCCATAGACATCTACACATATATCCTCGAATACGAATCAAAATGCAAATGCGTTGTCACCCGTGAGGTCTAGAATGGAATCCCTCGTTTCCAGTAAAAAGGGTCTTCGGACCTCTACACTCACCATACGAAACACAGCAGTATAAAGCTACTATTTTACGCTGGTATTCTGTGAGAGAGTGGTCCGTCCCCGGTCGAGCCGACCCATTCGTGCTACAACTACTACTAATACAATTGCAGCTTGGCTCTACTACCACGTATGAATATTTGTATTATTGTATACTCCACAAAATAAGTAAGTAGTATTAGTAGTTGTTTATAGCTCCATGTTTTTTGTTTACCAGGATGTAAAACCAAGAGCTGTTTTTCACACAAATTGACACATGGCGAGCAACTAGATGTTTCAAAATTCTGATTGTATAGATATAGAAAACAATCCTACAAAGAACGAATGAATTCCAAATTATCTGAGTAACGAGCGTACGTACGGTGGGTCAAAGCGTTCTGCATGCATTTCAAACCCACGAATTATAGTTTTATTGTCGGGGAACGCAAATAAAACAATTATTCTAGTTCTACATACGTATGCATACGTCGCACGCTCCACACTTTCTACTCGCTTCTTACGTTTACTAGACTAGATAAAGTATATCATCCTGCATTGTTAGGGACACTCTTCTGTTATACGATTTAGACAGAATGACTGCTTCGTTTAAATTTGGTCTAGAAGACATTTTATACATGATTTGTAGCATAGCAGTGTTGATAGTTTTTAGAAAGTAATTTAAAAGTGAAAAATAACACAGGACATTGGCTTACAGGTTCGACTACGCCGCTTGTGTATGTGAACGAGTCGTGCCTAGAGTGCGAGCGTGTGCGCGCGGCGTGCGAGCGGCTGGGCGCTGTGGAGGCGGCGCGTGCGGGCGACGCGCTGCCGCAACCGCAGCCTCCGCCCGCGCCTCCTTCCTACCTTGTCACTACCCCCTTTGAAGGCGAGCTCTTCGACGCTGCGCATAGAGCCAAATACAGGTTAGAAAAGTTAAAAATTCCCCAACCCCAACCAAGGCAGGGGATGACTGTAAAAGCCAACTAGTTTTTCTGGTATATCTCATGCCAGAAAAACTTCTGTTAGATGGCGATATAACCATTTGTCTACGTATTTTTATTCTGTATGACAATACGACGGCGCGATGTGACACTTGATACGCGGCGTCCCAAAGGAAATATTACACGCCGCTACCATAGACATTACAGATCTATGGTCTACAGCCTCTACATACTGTGTTGACAAGTTTGGGAATAAATAAATGCATTTAATTGCTCTTCCAACCTGTTGTCGTTTCTCTTATATTTTTTTTGTGGGTGCGTGGGAGAGAAGTGCAAGAGGAACACTTGTAATGAATATATAATAAGTTAAAGTCTCTAACTTACAGTAAAATTATTAGAGAAATAAGTTCAAGGCTAAACGGATAAACTTGCTGCTTTATTTTAAGTTTCATTAATATTTTTATCAAATTTATGTCAACTGCGATTACATCGACTACTATTTTGAGGTGTTCATAATTTGTCTTAGTTCCTTATGAATTAACGTAATAAGTGGCGTTAAATAAATATTCCGGGTGTTAGGGTGATTTGCTAATAATGTAGGTATAAAAAAATCATTAGCTAACGACACTACCTGAGGGAATAAATATGAAATTTCGTCTTGATAACTTCATTACTTCCTATGTAACCTTCAGTCATAGACGACGGAAATGACTGACTCGACATTGTTGAAAAAATCGAACACCGTGCGGTGATTAAATTTTTCACTAAACAAGGAAAAACTCAAAAAACATTCATGAAAAAATGGTGGCCGTTTACCAAGACTGCTCCTTCAATATCAATCGTACAGAAGTGGTGGTATTCAAAAGAGGCAGGGAAAGCATCGAAGATGACCCCCGCCCGGGTGAGCCAATCACAGCGGCTACAGAAGAAAATGTGAAGATTATTGAAAAACTTGTATTAGAAGATGGACGAGTAAGATTTAAGATGTTAGCAGAAATAACTAACCTATCCGTTGGTACCATACACTCCATATTGCATGACTATCTCAACCTCAGAAAATTCAGTGATTGAAAGATGGGTGCCGCGAATGCTTACTGCGCTTCAAAAGCAGGCGCGGCTTGACTATTGTAAGGAGTTTTTAGAGCTGTGTGGTGACAACCCAAGAAACGTTTTCGATAGGATAGATACAGGAGATGAAACGTGGGTTCACCACTGTGACCCTGAGATTAAACTAAGAGTATACAATGGCATATAAAGGGATCAGATCCCCTCAAGAAGTTCAGTCACTCCATCGGCCGGTAAAATCATGGCCACAGTGTTTTGAGATTTGTAAGGAAGGAATATACTATTGATCGAGTACACAAATAAAGGTGAAACTGTCAACGCAAATCTTAGCCACTTTACGCTGTTTGAAAAAAACAATAAAAGAAAAGAGAAGAGGAGAGTTGACCAAGGGAGTGCTGTTTCTTCATGACAACGCGTCGGCGCAGCTTTCCGAGGCTGCTGTATGAGACTGTGGGTTTAAGGAAATTAACCACCCACCATAAAGCCAGGATCTAGATTGTACTAGTGACAGCCCCTAGTGACTAACTTTTGTTCCCAAACTTAAAAAAAGACCTTTAGGGAAAGTGATTTGCTGACGATAATGAGCTCAAGTCCGCTCTAAATGAGCATTTTAGAGGACAAGACGAAGAATATTTTTTCAAGGGAACAGAAAAGCTTTTTACGAAGAAGTAAATGTATTAACTGTATGGGAGACTATATTGAAAAATATAAAATGTTTCATGCTATTATGTTTATTCTAACACACCCATACCGAGAATACATTGAACGCTCCTCGTATATATTAATACGTGTAGGGAAAACTTTGTACTTCTTTTTGAGCATATTGTGCGTAGATTTAGGCATTGTTAAATTTTATAAGGAGAAGTAGTGCAGAAAGAACAAAATATTTATAATGTAATATGCTACAAATACGTTGAATTAAATTAAATAAAACATTTATTGTTTACTCTAAATATCAAACATATAATAGTGTGCGATTAAACAGCCACACTTGGTAAAGTTTGTCACCATTACAGAATTTTAAAATGTTGTCAACAAATAATTACTTCATAATTTTATGGGATTTCGAATGTAAGGAATTTTTCAAATAGTATGTGGAGTGTACGTCATCAATGCAATAAAGCGTTTATATTTTTATATTTTGTATACGAGCTGTATTAATGTGCACTTGAAAGTGAAATACAGCTAGGTAATTATAAACTTAAAAATTTAATGAATTGCGGTCGAATTTTCACCGCTAGTTTTATTTCATATTTTATGTTTTATATGAAATAAAACTAGCGGTGTGTATATGTTGCGCACGGGCACAGTTTCAACTGATTCACAACAATTTGAACATCTTGATCATGGAACCTAATCAGAGGTCAAAAGTAAAATGTAAACAAAACTTAACTTTTTTGACTTATACTAAAAAACTGCTGATTTTTAGCTAACAATGCTAACAAGTAATTCTAGTTTAGAAAAGTATTTTGTTCAATACACATTTTAGATAGTTTTTCCATTTAATAGACATTTTTACGACTACCTCAGAAAATGCTTTTGTTCTTAGAAGAATGGACAAAAAACCAAACAGGAGTGATGGTTTTAACACTTGAATTATTTTATAAAGAGTTTAGCTGTAGTCATCCTTTGTATTTCTAATAGCTCATTATGTAGGCTTGGTTTTGTGAAATATGGGCTTTTTCTCCTAAAGCCTACACGCGGTGCAACCTGCTGAGCAAAAAAGCATCTAACGAAGCAGGGGCAACAACCTGTGGCGGAAAATTCCGAACCCGCATGGCACAGAGTATGAGAAAATATTTCAAGTTGCGTAGTTCAATTCATAAAGACTCAAAGAAGAAGAACAATAAAATTTTATTTTCATATGCCCATAAAAATGTAAAAGCGCTGTAAAAGTAATAGTCTCTCAGTTAAATGAATGATTCCAAATTACTTAGAACTAATTTTGAGTATACAAGTATGAGGCAGTCGCGACGGAGTCGGTTGTTTGAAGAATTTGACGACGAGTGCTACGCGGAATGCTAACAGACTCACAGTGACATCGCTGCTTGCCCTGGCCCTGGCCCGGCTTACTGTCGATTTATGATCTCTATAAACACCGCTTCCGCTCGTTTCTATCGCACTCACTACGAACACAATGATAAACATTTACGAACATGGCTTACATGGAGTCAGTATTCATCAATATGCTCGTATTGCATATACAATATACATTGTATATTATTTAATAAATATCGTGTATAATAATTAAATAATGTTCCTCTTATTTTTTCGGTCAAGTTTATTTGTTATACGCTGTTTCACTATATTTTCATTACACACACACTACATTCCATCTGGTAGGGATATTGAATTATTGTAGTAAAGTACTTATTGCATGATAAGAGTATCCACTACAGTGAGTGTCGTAAAGTCGACAGAGAGAAATTAATCAGGTGATAGGCAGCAACTCTTCAGCTTCTACAAACCGCTTGGGTTAATATTGATAAGGACAGTATCAACATCATTCTTCAAAACAGCCGTTGGACATAATATCGGCAAATATAGCTTGTTTAAAATGAAACTTCTATTTCTAACGATAATTTATAATTATTTTCAATTCCTCAATTGACTTTAATAGCATACTCTCACGTAACCGAAATTTCCTATCTTTAACTACTTGACGACCTCCGACAGTGCATTATAATTGAAACTTTTACCCTGAACGTGAATCGGGGTTGTTTACACACGCAATTCACTTGTGAAAAGGTCATACTCGTGTGCTCGGTGAGTGTATTTCACGGAATGATGTAAATAAAGGTGCGAGTGCGTGTGGGAGTCGCGGGGCGGCGCACGGCGACGCAACGCAACGTATCGCGAGCGCGAGGGTCGCCCTTGCGGCCGCGCGACGACGCTCTCGCTATTTTCGGCCTTACATTCCTCGCGACTGTTTTTCAATCTAATGTGAAACGCATAACGCGCGCGCCGCCTGCCCCTTTGTTTTATCAAGAAATCAAAAAATTGTGGTGATTTAATCCAATTTAATCAAATTAGTCAATTGATGAAATACAATTGGTATTGGTATTTATCGGACTATTAAAACGAAACCGGGTATAATGCGTGTGTTTGTCTGATGTCTGTGGTTGATGTGATAATGTATTTGTCGATACATTGTTGTATTATTATGTGTTATATGTGTGTCCCAATTGAGTTTACCACGCGCCGGACTAGTGCCTAATACATTAACAAAGTGTCGTGAAAATGGGTCCCACTCGGCTACCGCCAACCCCGGAGGAAGAGGAAGCTCCTCAAGAGCTAATTGTGTGCTCGGATCAAAAATCACCGGATACAGTACCGCCGAAATGCATCCAGTAAGGAATCACTAAAACATATACTTGTATTATTTCCTATGCTATTATATTATGATCATGATAATACCAATGATATGCCATGAAAACTGTTAATGTACTTCCTATTTTCTCGCCTGTACTACTCGATTTCTAACTTTTTTCGTGCCTTATTTGTTGAACTAATAAACAAGAATATCGCAGTGTAGAAAAGATAAATAAATCATAACTTCTCGATATATATTATCGAACTAAAATAAAATTGAATAGTCAGCCAAAAAGAACAACTGTTAAATTCAAGGATTTCTTTATAATTTCGCAAGAATTGTTCTTGAACGCTATAATTTCGTTAATAGTTATGCGTATCGATATATCGATCACACGCAACCTGTTGTTGGTCAATGAATTCAATTAGAAATCGGAACAAGTACGTATTTAATTACTTTTTTATATATATAAAACATGCTTTGAAATTTATTGTATCTGAATTAGACTTGCAACGAATATTCGGTGTTCAGCTACTTTTATCCTATTCGGTCGAATACAGCATATATTATTGTTTATAATATGCTTTTGTTGTTGTCAGAATTG